AGAAGATCTCACTATATAACACTGGCTGGCCTTGAACTCACAGAGATCCATCTGCTTCTGCCTCCTGAGTGCTGGGACTAAAGGTGTACACCACCACACCCATTTGGAACATCGTAGATTATGCTTACACAAACCTGGATGGCATAGCCTACCGCATACCTACGCTGTATGGTTTGGACCATTGCTGCACATCTACAAGCCTGTGTGGTATGTTACTGTGCTGAATGTGGTAGGCAACCGCAGCACGACGGTAGCACTTGTGTATCTGAACATGGAAAGGCACTGTAAAAGTGCTAGGTGGTAGGAATTTTCCAGATCCATTGTGCTCTTCCTGGCTCACTATTATATACGTAGTCTGTCCCTGTCCAAAACCTTGTGTGCCACATGACAGCAAGTGTGGTGTAAATTCTATCACTTTGCATTCCCTTAGTTTTGAATGTTATCTTATACCTGCTCATCCCTTAGCTGTCTGCAATTACTATTTCACTTGTTCCTACTGAATAACCAATCCCTTCCCCAGTTTATAATTTTGCTATGACTTCAAAACTATAGATAGGTTGAAACAGTGCAAGGCAAGGTGCTCTTTATCCAGGTTTACCAGTTGCTTACATCTTGCTGCATTCATCAGTGCCCACTCATCTGCATTTATATGAACTCATTTTTATCATTTAAGAGTAAGTTACAGATAGCATCAGTCATGCTACCTCTAAATATCATGGTGATTTATTTCCTTAAGAACAAAACATTCTCTTGTGCATTGCAATTGCATCATCAAATTAAGGGTGTTTAACATTGATACCATACTCTTATCAAATCCAGAATGCATATTCAAATTTCATCCTATGTTCCAATAAAATAAAAGGTATTTTGCTCTCCCAAACCCAATACGCACTCCAGATCATAATTCGTATTGTGTTCACATGTCTCTTTATTTTTAAGTGTTACTTTAATTTTTATTCTTATTTTATTTTAACTAGTACATAGAAACATACAAATTACATAATATTGCAGTGTCCTGTGATGTTTGGATATATGGTTTGTTGATTTAATCTACTTTCATCTGAAACAGTCCCTGAGCCTTTTCTTCAGTTTTGTCACTCTTGAAAAATATAGTCTATCCCAGCACTCGGGAGGCAGAGGCAGGCAGATCTCTGGCCAGCCTGGTCTACAGAAGCAGGTCTAGTCTACAGAAGCAGGCAGATCTCTGGCCAGCCTGGTCTACATAGTGTGTTCCAAGTGAGTTCCAGGTCAGCTGGAGCTACAGGGAGACCCTGTCTCAAAAAGACCAAAAAGACCAAAAAATTAAAAATTAAAAAAAATAAAAAAAAAGACAAAAAGACCAAAAAAAGAAAGAAAAAGAAAAGAAAAACATAGTCTAGTTACTTAGTGGACTGTCTTTCAATTTGGATTTATCCAAGACTTTTTGATAAAAGATGGCATCTGCCATGTTTTTCTTTGTAAATCATAAACAAAATGTAGTTTTCCTTTGAGACTGTGTAAACACTGATTCTCCCCAAAATGACACTGTTCATTTTCAAAATTCATTGATTAGTTCTAGGTTCATTACTTTTTCTTTTCTTTTTATTTATTTTATTTTATTTTATTTTATTTATTTATTTATTTTTGGTCTTTTTGAGATAGGGTCTCCCTGTAGCCCCAGCTGGCCTGGAACTCACTATGTTGACCAGGCTGGCCTCAAACTCACAGACATCCGCCTGCCTCTGCCTCCTGAGTATTGGGATTAAAGGTGTGCGCCACCACACCAGATCCATTATTACTCTTGTTATTAGGAAGAACAAACGTGATCTTTACCCATACTCATTCATTTGCTAATTAATATCAGAATGGATTGGTGGATTCTCACTTTATTTTTATTACTACTTTGATCATGCAGTTGTCACAGATGTGGCCAGTGACAGCTACTTTACTGTACCTGCCATATACCTTTGCATTTGTCTCATTGTGGGTTAGGCATTGCCTGACTTTCTAATATGATAGGAGGGAGGTTCTAGGCTCACCCTGGACTCCTTTTCTTGCTCTGGAATCAGCCTTTCCTCCAAGGGGTCTAGATTTGCTTAATGAGAAAGACAATTAGAACCAAGATCTAGTATAGGCCATGATTTCTAGGTTTTTAGGGAGCTCAAAAATACAAACTCTGTGTGTGTGTGTGTGTGTGTGTGTGTGTGTGTGTGTGTGTGTTTTATCATACTAATATGATCCTGTCATGTATAGGGATGTATATATATATATATATATAATCACACTGATGTTCATACCTACATCTCTAATATCAGTACAGTAACACAGGGTATATCCTGTGATTCTGTTTTACCTTATTTGTGACTCTATCTCTTTTTATCTCTCACAAAGTCACTCATCTGCTAACTTATACCACATCAATAAACAAATTTCAGTAATGTCTGTTTCTAGTTCTCTAAGTTTTTCAGAAGGGAATACACAAGCCTTAAGTATACAGGAGGTGGTAAATGCACACACTCATCCAGCCCACACAGGTATAAAGACAGGAGCATTCCCACCACCCCACAGTTTCTTCACCAACCACCTCCCCATCTATGATAGCCATTTTTCACTGTTTTTTCTATTGATTTTTTGTCCACTAGGCAATGCCTGCTCTTGACAGCCTGTAAATAGACTCGTACGGTATCTGCTTCTTTCTGTTTGACTTCTCTTCCTCAGCATGTTAGAGAGACTAGCTGGTGGTCTTGCATGTGTCAACAGTCCTCCCCCTTTTACTGTGTGACGGTACACTGTTATGTAA